AGCCAGCTTTTCTTAACTTAAATTATCCCATCTATCCTTTGCCTCTAGGCTTTTACCTTTCTCTAATCTATATACCTTTCTTTCCTTCTCACACCCTGGCTGGTTGTGTGGTTGTGTGGCTGGTCCCTGGCATCTTCCTCTCCTCCTTTTCTCACTCCTCCTTCTTCTCTTCTCTTCTAGCCTAGATTTCATCTCCTATTTATTCTCTCTGCCTGCCAGCCCTGCATATCCCTCTCCTGCCTACCTATTGGCCACTCAGCTCTTTATTAGACCAATCAGATGTTTTAGACAGGCAAAGTAACATAGCTTTACAGAATTAAGCAAATGCAACATAAAAGAATGCAACACATCTCTACATCATTAAACAAATACCCCAGCCGGGCAGTGGTGGTGCACTTCTTTAATCCTAGCACTCAGGAAGCAGAGCCAGGTGGATCTCTGTGAGTTTGAGGCCAGCCTGGTTTACAAAGCAAGAACCAGGACAGGCTCAAAAACTACACAGAGAAACCCTGTCTTGAAAAAACCACACACACACACACACACACACACACAAATTCCACAGCATAAACAAATGTAATACATTTTAAACTAATATTCCACAACAAGTGGGGGCATTCTGTTCTGCCTGGCACTCTCTTGATCAGGAACTATAGCTGACTGCCTTAACGGGGCTTTCATAGTTGATTTCACCTAGATGTTTTAAGTACTTGGTTTGATATTTTGCTACATATCTATCTCTTACCATTAATGTTTTTACTTTGGGTTGATAAATACTTAATAAACTTATTCATTCAAATCTGAAAGTACAGCTATCATAGACCATTCTCTGTACCTAGCAAAACATATACATAAGGGCTAGGCCAGAGTTAAAACCTAATAGGTGGCAATATGGCCTTTAAATCATAGGTACGGTACTTAATAACTGTATGTGAACTAGCACAGCTTACAAAGTTAATCTTGTCTCAGCTTCATCATCTATAAAGAAGGCTAATATTCTGGTACTGTGAGGACTAACGGTTACATTGCATAGGAGATGGTAAGCAACCATAAAGAGTTGAAACTTATATGTAAATATGTACAATGTGTTGTTTAATAGCTGCCTTTAGAGGTAGCTGGTACTCAGGACTTAAGAGTCACTAAATTGCTATTGATCTCTACATCTCTTGCTTTTGTTGCAAGTACTATATCTACATAAAATACATATATTTACCTTTGGGTTAAAATGATAAAATTGGCCAATGATCAGTATTTATCTTATTCATGTGAAAATTACCTATGACAATGAACATGGCTTTTAAATCTTATCTCCAAGGTTTGTTATGTACACTGATTGACTACTTCTCCTTCTCCTTCTTCCTCTTCTTCTTATTCTCCTCCTCCTCCTTCTTTTTGGCTTCATAAAGATAGTGTTTCTCATGTAGCTTTGGAGCCTGTCCTGAAACTCACTACGTACTATTGTACCTAAGACCTAAATGAATGATTTTTTTAACTGAGTTCTTTTGAAGGACTTCTTCTCTTTTATGTGTATGTGAATGCACAAATATGTGCAGGTACCAGCAGAGTCCAGAAGAAGACACTGAATCACCTGGAGTTGGAGTTACAGACCCATTGTGAGCCACCAGATGTGGGTGCTGGAAGCGAAACTCCAGAATTCTAAAGTAACAGCAAGAACTCTTCCATCTCCTAGCCTAGTTTGTTGTTCTTTGTTTGGTTGGGTTTGTTTTTGAGACAGGGTCAGATAAGTTCAGACTTGGCTTGAGGGTCTAAGAAGTGACCCAGGACCTTAAACTCCTAACTGTCCTCCTCCAATCTGCCAAATACTGGAATTTCAGGCACATGCCACCATGCCAGGTAAACACAGTAAAACAGTCAAATTCCAGAGTCAGGTAAACCGGATTCAACTCTCAGTCATGACAATTTTCTGTGTTTAAGTTACAACTTTAGAGGATATATAAAATGCATGCAGAGACAGGATTTCTCTTTTGTGAGTATTAAACAGTGAATATAAGCTGTAAGGCAGAAGGTAGACACCTATGAGTATTCATGAAATGCTATATGAATATAAGTCACAAATAAGAACAGTGACTAAAAGCTAGTTGCTATATAGAAATACATAAAATCGCCGGGCGGTGGTGGCGCACGCCTTTAATCCCAGCACTCGGGAGGCAGAGCCAGGTGGATCTCTGTGAGTTCGAGGCCAGCCTGGGCTACCAAGTGAGTCCCAGGAAAGGCGCAAAGCTACACAGAGAAACCCTGGTAAAAAAAAAAAAAAAAAAAAAAAAAAAAAAAAAAAGAAATACATAAAATCTCCCTGAAAGAACTTATAACTGTTTACTTTAAGATATGAGTAAAACAATAAAAGAATCAATAAGATGATAATATATTTATCAATCAGAAAATTAAAGTTCAGTGATTAATCAAACAGGAGAGTAGAAAGGTCAACAAGTAAAGGTTGCTTTACTCTGAAAAGGCAAAGGGGCACCTGCCTGATGCTTCAGCATCTTTGTATTGAATACATTGCATTTTTCTTTTTAAAAATATTTTTATATGTGCATTTTATGTATATGGTGTTTTGTACACATGCATATCAGATGCACATCTGAAGAAGTCATTGGATCCCATGTGACTACAGTTATAGTTGATTGTGAGTTGCCGCATGAATGCTGGGAATTGAACTAGGCACCTCTGGAAGGGTGCTCTTAAGCACTGTGCTATCGCTCTAGCCCCAGTATTGCATTGTTCTTTATGGTAATCTCTCAGCTTCTCTGGGATAGACTGATTTGCAGGGGAAATGAGGAAATAATGTAGGGTAAAAAGGCCAGCCAAAGAAACCCATCCTGACCCTCAAACCAGAGCCAGTGAAAGAAACACACTTTAGCCCTGAAACCAAAACCAAAGAAACACATCCTGACCCTGAAACCAGAGCCAAAGAAACACACTTTGGCCCTAGAACCACAGTCACTGAAAGAAACACACCATGGCCCTAAAACTAGAGCCAAAAGGCTAAAAAGCGCCAGTGAAAGAAACACACTTTGGCCATGAAACAAGAGCCAAATCTGCCCCTGACCAACTGAGCACAAAACCAACCAATTCCTGAGCAGGAAAACCAACCAATCCCTGAGCACAAAATCAACCAATGCCTAAGTAGAAAAATTAACCAATCTCTGAGCTTGTCCAAGCTCAGGGGTTGAAATTTAACCAATTCTCACCCTGAAAATCTCCACCCTGGAAAAACTCCCCCCATAAGAAGCTCTCCTATGCCGTTCAGTTTACTCTTGCCTTTTCCCACCCTGGCACTTTCGTGGGGAGGGGAGGAATGGAACTGAGCAGAGAAGTAACAACTTTTCCCCAGAGCCGGAGCAGAGCAGAGAGGAGCAAGACTGTAACACTGTCACTGGGGAAACCTTCCCCTAGGGAAGAGAGTTGTTAAACTCCAGGGCACCTGAGCAGAACTGTAACAACTTTGATGGGTGTAGGAGGACAGCACCCACCTTTTACATGGTTTTTTGAGGAGGAGAGAAGCATAAGGAATCTGTGGATAGAAAGATATCGGAGACGAGACAGACAGAAACACAGGATAGCTTGGGGAGGACCTGGATAAAATCCACTGGCACCTTCTGTCTCTTCAAAAGGGTTTTTTGTAACAATGCCAAGGGGCTGGGCAAAAGACCTCCCCCTGCTAGATCTAAGCATACCGCCTAGCCCAAGTGCAGGCCCTTCCAAACCCCTGGTAACCATGCATGTGGTCAAGCCATCCATTGTGCAGCCTTGCTGGGTAAAGCAAGCTCAGATCTCACTAGGAAACCTCTGTGGGCTCCCCCAGGGGAAACTGAAACCCTCTCCTACTAGGGCAGAGTTGTTACATTGGGGAAACCTTTCCCTGGAGGAGGGCCGTAAGCTGCTACTCTTTCATGACTTTGTGGTGGTATTCCTAGGCTCCAGACTGCCAGGATCCCTTTCCATGTGAGCTGCAATGCTTACAAAAGGTGATTAATGAATTACAAGGCGATGAGTAAACTCAGCCGAAACTGCCTTAGTCCAAAAAGAATAATACTCTTAAAATTCATTACATGTCACCTTTTGTGTGTCTGAAGAAATGAGCATCTTTCCTCACACTACACATTTGTCAGAAGCAATTTCTCTGGGTTACTCAGACCTCCATTCAAAGTTCTCCTGAACTCTTCATAGTTGAGTTTGGAGTACAGGCAGAGCATCCCTTTCTGAAAGTATACCTAATTCTGGATCAATGGTTTCCAAAATGTAACACGTGGATCTAAAGCTGATGCAGGATATTATCTCATCAGTTCATAGCAATAACAAAAACAGAAGCCATTCTTCACTTAAAACCAAGGGAGGCCGGGCGGTGGTGGCACACGCCTTTAATCCCAGCACTCGGGAGGCAGAGCCAGGTGGATCTCTGTGAGTTCGAGGCCAGCCTGGACTACCAAGTGAGTCCCAGGAAAGGCGCAAAGCTACACAGAGAAACCCTGTCTCGAAAAACCAAAAAAAACAAAAAAACAAAAAAAAAAAAAAACCCAAGGGAGAAGAGTTTAATTGTAAGTCAGGTGTGACTTCCATGCCCCATTCTGAAAGCAGGTAAAAGATGTCCTCTTCCGCTGCCTGCGTGCCCTCCCCGTGCACCCCTGAACTATGTTAACAGTATTTAGTAGGAGGAACATAATGTAACTTTCAAGAAACCACGGCGCCCAAATCCTGCAAACAGGAGACAGTAGGAACCCAGTTTTCTTCAGCCCGCCCAGGAACAGTACTTGGGGAGCCAAGATTGATTCCCACGTTGGAAATAGGTAATGCCAGTGAAGACAGTAAGCAGGGTCCCGAGACTTCTTCAGCCTCAGGGAGGGTCGGGCTCCGCGGGAGTGGACTGGGGACTTGCAGGTACAATGCTTGCCTGCTCACTTCTCGGTCCTAACAACACGCTTGCAGGCAGCGGGCTGGCCGGAAACCCCAGGCCGAAGAGACGAGAGGGGAAAGTCACTCACCAGCCTCCACCGGCGGCGCGGGTCCCGCAAGGGCCCGACGGGCTGACCGGCCAGAAGCAATCGGTCGGCAGCTCAGGCCGCCCTGGCGACCACTCCAGAGCGTCACTGACAACCACCCGGAAGTAGTGGAACCGCTTCCGGGGCCGCCGAGCGCGCGGCGGGAAATTATTTCCTAGTAGCAAGATTAGTGGAGCCGTGAGCGCTGCCGCCGCCGTCGCCGTCCCCCCTCCCGGCGCCCCCGCCGCC